TATATATATATATATATATTCATTGATAAGTAATTATTGACAATTAAGAAGGATTATTTAGAAGAAGATCTCACATAAGGTAGAGGAAGGAGGTCTCCATGAAGCAGAAGGGATAGAAGAGGAGGGGAAGTGTGCAAAAATACCATTTGAGAAGTACAAGTAGATTTTGCTAACCAATCAGCATGTTGGTTACCTTACTTGAGGATGAAAGACCACTTGATAGTAAGAGGAGAAGAGAACATAGAGACTTGCTTAAGAACACTTAGTATTTGCCAATGGGCTTTGGAAGAATCATTGGAGGCATGTCATAAAGCGAAGGAGTCCATCTCAATAATAATTTTATTCCACTTAAAGTGTGCAGGAAGCTTGATAAAAACCAACAGGGCCATATCCTCAGAAATAAGAGGAGAGTCAGCAAATACAAAAGGTACAACAAGTAGAAGAGTATTCCGTACATGATCCATGAAGACACCACCAAATCCAACATAGATGGAGAGAAATTGCCATCAATTTTGATTTTACTCAATCAGGAGGAGGCTTCTCCTAAAAGACAAAGAGGCTGCCTACAACCAGGAGAAGGAGACTCGCTGAAAGATAACCAAAGTGGATCTCAACCAGTCTTGAATTTTTTTCTTGAGAACAAAGAATTTTAGAATTTTTTGAATGTAATTGAGTATATATGCAATAACCATATGGATAATATTATCCTTGGCATACTGGCTATGCTTGATACTGTTCTTAGAAACCCAGATGAACCAAAAATAATAATGGGGAGACACCTGAGAATGGGTTTAGGGACAGAGGCCCAATCCAACTATCAAGCATGAATAGAAGTCATGCATCTGAGAGGAAGAACATTCCCTAATAAGTTAAGGAAAAACTACCACACACCCAAAGCGACCTTACATAATAAAAACCAGATGAGAAATAGATTCCTCCTCCACTCTAAACAAACAACATATAGAAGGACTTCTCAGGCCTTTAAGCTTTAAAATATCATCAGTTGGTATAAAAGAATGCATAATTCTCCATGCCAAAAGGATATTGAAGGCTTGAGCAATGAATTCCACATCCATTTAAGGTTTAGGGCAGGAGCAACATTAATATACACAAATATAGCAATGAATTTTGGAATGGAGGAACTACGAGAAACTTTAAAAACGAGTTTGTCTTTATCATATATGATAACAACAATGTTAGAGATGGTAGCAACATCATATGAAGAAACCGACTGAGTTAATATACCAACATCCCATCCATTCAGGTTCCAACAGGCCCTAATAGAAAATTACATATCCATAGGACCGCTATATAAGCTAGTAAGAGGGCCTCAAGAGGTTCAATCAACATAACATAAGCTTAATTTACCTTCCACCAACTCCTAATATATTAGATGCTCAACAGTTTCCCTCATCTCAATCATCTGTTTCCAAATAGAGGAGTCCTTCAGTTGGGTGTGGTAGGAAATAGGATGAGAAAAGCAAGAATACTTCTCCCACAAATATTAAGCCCAAAAGGAAGACCTCTCTTTGAACTTGATCTAAATTTAGATAGTATTAATCTGCATGGTTTCCTGAAATGATCTAATGCCCAACCCTCCTTCATATAGAGGCCTACACATTTTATGCCAGTTGATCCAATGAATCTGAGAAGAGTAGCCACTCCATAAGAAGCTAATGCACATTCTTTCTAATTTCTTGATAATAGAAGAAGGCATTTTGAACATCTACAAATCATATAAAGGAATGACAAATAGGATAATTTTTAGCAAGGTAAGCCTAACACCATGACAGAAGAAGTTGTTCTCCCAAGTGGACAATCTCCTAGAGACCTTATCCAGTAGCCCATCAAATAAGCATCACTTTTTCTTCCCCTTATTGATCTGTACACTAAAGTAGGAGATAGGAAGGGCATCTTTATGAAAGCCAGAAAAGTCAGCAATCCACTGCTGTCTAGAGATAGAAACGTTCCTCCTAGTATAAAAGGAGAATTTGCTTTTACTGAATTTAACCATAGAGACCTACTGAAAATGGAGTAGAAAAGCAACAAGCTTTCTAACAGAGATTGAGGAAGCATTAGAAAAAAAGATGAGGTCATCAACATAACTGAGATGGGATATGAGAGGAGACCCCCTGCTACTATAAATCATATGTTGGTTTGAGGAAAACAGATCCTACAACCCTTTAGATAAATAATAAAATGCAATAATAAAGAGTTAAGGGAACAAATGATCACCTTGCCTAATGCCCCTAGTTGCTTTGAAGAACCCCTAATACTCTCCATTGAGAAGAATAAATTATTAGTTGTTGTCCAATATAAGCTTAATGAGATGGCAAAATTGTCGAGAAAAGCTCCTAGCAGAATGCACAAGCAAGATAAACTCCTAGGAAATAGTATCATAGGCTTATATCGATCATGATAATCATGTTACCTCCCCTGCAAGACTTGCCCAAATCCAGAATCAATTCCCATGTAATCAAAATGTTATCAGAGATTAATATGTCCTTAATGAATGCAACTTGGAATGGGTTGGTTAATGTACTTAAGTGGGGTTGCAATTTACCCACATGTACTTTGCTAATAATTTTGGAAATTTTGGTAGACAGGCAGATATGACTAAAATTAGCCCACATCGCAGTAGCTTGAATATTAGGAATGAGTATGATGACAAATGTTTTGAAGAATATATGGAAATTTTGTCCCTAAAAAAGGCTTTAACAACGACAATGACATCCTCCAACAGTTTTTGAGATATCCGTATCAAAAGTTAATAACTTATTTTCTTCATCAGAGGGGGGGAGAGGCTAGTAGATGTTCATACATAGAATCAATAAAGATTAGTTCTGATGGAGATGGTATGATCAGATGAAGCAGAGAAGAATTGTTGAAAAAAGGAAATACCACTTTTAATTATTGACATTCAAGCAACAATCTAACAACCCACATAAATTTTAATTTTGGAGATGGTATTCCCTTGACACATTCTTTCTATAAATGCATGGAAGTATCTTGATATTCTATCCCCATCAACAAACAAGTGACCACAACCTTTTGACTCAAAAATTGTTCTTTAGTCTAGATAAGATCCTAAAGTTAGGTTTGAGTAGAAGTATAATTAATAAGCAAAAGAAGCTCTCCCCATAACATAATCTTTTTCCAACTATTCCACCAATGATTTAGCTTGTTGAACCTTCACATGCATATTCCCAAAGGCTTCCCAGCTCCATTTCTTGAGGGCACTCACTAAATTTTCATGCAGTTGCCAAAGGTTAACCCAGGATTTCCACCTCTCTGACAATCCCATTGAGTCTTAACAAAATCTTGGAAAATCAGAATGAGAAGACAACATATTCAAAAATCTAAAAGGTGTGTAGGAAGGTTTCTCAGCATCATGAACTTCAAGCAGTAGAGTGATTTTAAGTGGTTCTAGCAAGATTGGTCACTTTAAATAGAGCATGTGCATCAATCTAAAAATTATTCCCCAAAAAACTATCAAGCTTTTGAAGCATTTCGCCTCTTCTCCAAGTGAAGATGGACCCTGAATACCCCAAGTCATGTAAGCTAGCATTCATGAGGGTATTAGCAAAAAGATTAATGACAGCTTGATTAGGAGGACAAGCTCCTCTCATTTCTAGATCAGAAGTAATAATATTGAAGTTCTATCTAATTAAATGTTCGTTCATCAATTAACTTTATTGTTAATTAATTTAAAAAATTAGAAAGAGAAAAAAATAATGCTAGATATAAAACATTGGTGATGATATAAAATTTACTAAAATACAAAATTGAATGTAATAATAACTTAATTTCATCATTGCTCTATTTAATTTTTAAAACTAAATATACTTACGTGCTGCAATTAGGTGAGATAAATTGCTTAAATTATCATGACACTCGTGTATTAACTTGTTAATTTATTTTTTAAATATTATATTATCTTTATAAATTTTATTCACGTGCACAAATTGCACGTACAATCAAACTCGTATAAATATAATAACATGACATACATTCATCTTATCATAACTCTCTCTCTCTCTCTGTATAAATATAAATATATATATATATATATAGTTTTTGATACAAATTATAAGTAACAATGATGAACATATTT